CATGTTCATGAAATGCAAGTATCTCATCCCTGGGGACCACTGGGACCGAGAGATCTGCAGGCTCCATGGAGCCTGCTGGTTCTTGGGCATCCTCCTCCTGGTCCTGGAGCTCAGAGGGCTCTTCCAGCACCATCTGAACACCATCTGTTAAGACCCTGGACTCTGGCTGGGATTGGGAGAGCTCTGCAACCCCCTGGGACAGGGGTGGGGGTAAGGGTGGGGCTCCTTCACAAAATGTTAGGGTAGAGCTGGAGCCCTGTGGGGTATGTGCAGAGTGCCCAACAAGATCAGCCCATTGATTAGGGGACCCTACCATGACCCCCTCTGGTGCAGGACTATGGAGCAGGCTACAGGTGAGGTTTTCCTGGGAAGGAGAGGGAAGAGACCCACCAGGCAATGGGGTGGCTCTGGTGTCTGCCTTGGTGTCTTGGGAAAGAGGACCTCCTCTCTCAGAACTCACTGAGGCAAGCCTCAGGGCTTCCATATCCCATGGATCAGAGGGAGGAGGCTCTGCTGCCAGGCCTTCCTTTGGGCAGGCCTCAGCCTCAGCCCCCGTGGTTTCAAGGGGTAGACTTTGGTCAGCAGAATGAAGAGCTTCTCCCATGGGCTCCTGTTCAGAAATATCTAGCAGCCCCAAAACCTCCTTCATGAGGATCACCCATTTGATCTTTCCCAGAGTTGGGGTATTACGCACAGCTGCGGAGACCCCCAGAGGCTGGGCCGCTCCTCCCCCCCTGTGGTGGTCTTGGAAGTGAGAGAGGAGTCCTCCATGTCAGAGGACTCCATCTGTGCCCAGGCCTTCCTCTTGCCTTTACGCCCGGATGGGACCTGAACCCAGTCATCCATGGGGTGGTCCTCAGGCGGACAGGCTCCAGCAAGAGAAGGTGAGGGGGGGGCAGCCATGACAGGGGTATGACTAAGGGCAGGGGGGCCCTGCTCCCTCTCTCCCCCTGGTTGCTGGTGCCCTCCCTGGGATTCCACTAGACTTGGTTTGGGGGCAGGGTCCCTTGAGCTCACAGGTGGACTCATAGTTGTGACTGAGGTGCCAAGATGGAGTGAGGGGGCTTGGGGAACCAGTGGTACGAGCACCCCTTTTTCCAGTGGCAACTGCAGATGTCCTTCCCACCTGGCCCATGGGGCACTTACGATGCGAGTGCCCCGGGGCATGGTACCAGAAGCACCGCACATCCCCCACTGTATAGGAAATCCTCACCAGGGCCCCCTGATAAAGAATTACCAGACACCCCTCAGTCTCCAGCTGTGCTTCCACCACCAGCTGGATCATGATCTGGCAATAGAAAGAGCACACACGGGGAGGCCAAGGTATCGGCATCCCAGTGAGAGGGCCACCATTGGGGAGATAACTCTCCCCAGGGTTTGGAGCTGGGGGAGCAGGGTCCAATTGGGGTTATAGGGAGGGATGGATCTGAGGACCAACCTGGTCCCCAGCTCTTCTAGAGTCTTGAGGGGGGACGTATTCACCCTCCACCACGACACCCCTCTCCACTGCCTTTTGTGCAGCGGCCTCTAATGCAAGGAAAAAAGACCCCCTTTCCATGAAAGCAGGAGGCTGCCATGATCTTGGGGGCCCCCACTACCCAAGCCCGGGCCTGCTCTCAGGTCTCAAAGTGCAGGTTCTCCTGCTTGGGCAGTTGGTACTTCACGCCATGCCTGCAGGTGAGTGCCTGAAAGGGGGCCCAATTTCCCAAGCTAGAAGGGCTGTCAGTGGAGGGTCCAGGCCTCCCAGCTTTGGGTCTTCCTGGAGGCTGAGTGGGTGTGCTGGCTGGTGTAGTGCACCTGGTCCCCTCAGACGTTGGTGGTCTAGGCTTTGGGAAAGGCCCTTGCCCTTCCCCCCCCAGCTGTGGAGGAGACTGAAGAGCCGCCCTTCCCACTGCCCTTGCCATTTTTCCCTGATGATGGGAGAGGGGGATTGGGAACCCCTCCGGCAGGGGGTGCCCAGCCAGCGGTGACCCCCTGGCCCTGTTGGCTCCCTACCAGAGTCCTACCTGCCCCTGCAGCAGCGGTTGCAGGCTTCTCCACCCCTGGAGGACGTTAGTTTGACTCTGCCTCTGGGGTGGAGGCTGCAGAGGCATGCATCCCTTTGGGGGCTTGACTGGGATCCACCCCCATAGTGGAGGTGGTAGGAAGCTCTGTGGGGGCATCTTCACCCCCAAAAAAGTTCCTGCCCTTCCATTGTTTCACATGACCTCCACTTAACCCAGGAGGTGTACAGTCCCACCAGAGGAAATGCCTTGTTGGACCTGGTCCTGGCCACAGGCAATGATCTGGTATGCGGGCTCCGGGTCCTTGACCACCTGGGTGATAGCAATCATCACTTGCTGGAATTCATTATCCAGCGCATTGTGACAAGGGCCTGCAGCAAGGTGGTAGCCCTAGACTTCAAGAGAGCCAACTTCAATGAGTTGAGGTGATTGGTGGGAGAGGCTCTGGGGTTCTCAAGGGCAGGGGAACACAGTCCCCAAGATGAGTGGTTGTTCCTTAAGGAGATGATACTCAGGGCCCAAGGGCTGACCATCCCAACAAGAAGCAAGGGGAGCAAGAGTGCCCAAAAGCCTCCTTGGCTCACCAAAGACATCCGGGAATGCTTGGTTGCCAAAAAGGCAGCGTACACCTGGTGGAAGGGGGGGCGCTATCTCCAAAGAGGAGTATACCTCCACTGCTCGGGCCTGTAGGGGGGCTGTTAGGAAAGCTAAGGCGGACATAGAGCTAGGACTAGCATCTAAGATCAAAGATAATAAAAAGTCCTTTTTCAAAGATATATAGAGAGGATGAAGGCGGCATTGGGAAATGTGAGGCCCCTGCAAGATACTCTGGGCAATCTGGTGGTCGTGCCAGAGGAGAAGGCAGACCTCTTTAACAAATTCTTCACCTCCGTTTTCTTGTGCTGGGACCAGAACTCCCCCACTGTGATTCAAGACGGACTCGAGGGGAACGCCTCCAGACCTAAGGTTGAGGAGGACTGGGTTAGAGTGCTTCTGGAGGGGCTGGACGTGTTCAAATCAGCAGGTCCAGATGCTCTCCACCCCAGGGTGTTGAGGGAGCTAGCAGGGGTTATTGCAGGGCCCTTGGCACGGCTTTATGAGCACTCGTGGTGCTCGGGCCAGGTGCCAGATGATTGGAAGATAGCCAATGTGGTCCCCATCTTTAAAAAAGGGAGGAGGGAGGACCCGGGCAACTATAGGCCCATCAGTCTTACCTCAATCCTGGGGAAACTCTTTGAGAAGATCATCAAGGAGCACATCTGTGATGGGCCGGCATCGGGGATGATGCTCAAGGGCAACCAACAGTTTCATTAGGGGCAGGTCATGTCAGACCAACCTGATTGCCTTTTACAATCAGGTCACAAAAGCATTGGATGCAGGTGTCACCGTGGATGTAGTCTTTCTGGACTTCAGCAAGGCCTTTGACACTGTCTCTCACCCTATCCTCATTAAAAAACTAGGTGACTGTGGCATTGATGCCTACACAGTCAGATGGATTGCAAATTGGCTGAGGGTTTGTACTCAGAGGGTGGTGGTGGACGTGTCAGATTCGACCTGGGGGGAAGTGGGCAGCGGAGTCCCCCAGGGCTCAGTCCTTGGGCCCGCACTGTTCAATTTCTGCATTAGTGATTTGGACGATTGGGTGAAAAGCAACTTGTTCAAATTTGCTGCTGATACCAAAATTTGGGGCGAGGTGTGCACGCTAGTAGGGAGGGAAAGATGACAGAAAGACCGGGAT